TTAAGTCACAATAGCCAATTTGGAAAATGTCCCACTCAGCTTATCTTCCAGGCCAGATATTTCGCCTAGCATTTCCAGTTCTCTAAAACTTTCACTTTAGTGAAGAAATCCTAGAAACCACAAGAAACCGTTATAAAATCCAATATGTGCACTATCTAAGCATAGCTAGAGCTTTTGTCACTTGGGGCCGCCCCTAACTTTGTCGACCCAAATACAAAATCTTTTCCATCACCAAAGATCTTTTTATTGAATAAGTTGATTAAAGGACCACTATAGTGCCAGGAAAACATACTCGTATTCCTGGCACTCTAGGGGGAGGAAGGGTTAAACTTACCTCTTTTTCCAGCGCCAGGCGGGGAGTTCTCCTCCTCCATAGCGACGTCATCGGCTAAATGCGCATGCGTGGCAGGAGCCACGAGCACATTCAGCCAGTCCATAGGAAAGCATTCTCAATGCTTTCCTATGGACGCTGGCGTCATCTCACTGTGAAAATCACAGTGAGAAGCACGGAAGCGCCTCTGGCGGCTGTCAATGAGACAGCCACTAGAAGCTGGATTAACCAATTTATAAACATAGCAGTTTCTCTAAAACTGCTATATTTATAGAAGAAAGGGTTAATCCTAGCTGGACCTGGCACACACACAAACACACTCACTGACAGACACACACACACACTGAATGTCAAACACACACACTCACTGAACGGCACACACACACAGGCAGATACTCACTGACAGACTCACACACACACACACACACACACACTGACAGTCAAACACTTACACACTCACTGACAGACACACACACAGGCAGACACTCACTGACAGACATACACTCACTCACTGACAGACACACAGACACTCACTGACAGACACACAAACACAAATGGACATACACTCACTGACATACATACACTCAATCACTGACAGACACACACACACACAGACACTCACTGACATACATACACTCACTGACAGACACAGACACACACACACACTGAGAGTCAAATACACACTCACTGAACAGCACACACACACAGGCAGATACTCACTGACAGACACACACACACACTGACAGTCAAACACTTACACACTCACTGACAGACACACACACAGGCAGACACTCACTGACATACATACACTCATTCACTGACAGACACACACACACACACACACACACTGACAGTCCAACACTCTCACACTCACTGACACACAGACTCAGACATCCAGCCTCCTTACCTCCCTGGGGTCCAGTGTGGGGCAGCTCCTCACTCCTCCAGTGTGCTGTTTAGTATGAATGACGTCATATTTCGGCTCCCAGCATCACAGAGGGCGCGCAAGGGAGGAGTGGGAAGCTGCAAGAAGAGCCTCCCACACTGCCACCATCTGCCTCCTCTCCTTCGGCATTTATTGGCAGAACAGGCACCTGCTCATCGGGGTAAGCAGGTGCCTGCTCTGCATACCGATTGAAGGACAGCTTCGGGGGCACCCGGAGGTGGTCATATGGCCACCTCCTGAGCCCCATGTGACAAGGCTCCTCCGGGAGCCCCCATTTTCGAGCACCTGGAGGATCGGCCCAGCGCTACGGCTCAGGACAGGGGGAGCCAACCAGGAAATATCCCGGTGGGCACTGCCAGCAGGCTGGCGCCCCAGGCAAATGCCTAGTTTGCCTAACAGTGGTGCCGGCCCTGAGTGAATTGTGAATGGCAAATTGACATTTCAGAATAAATCCTTAGATTTTCAAATCTCTTTCATTTAGAGAGACATTTGTAGAACTATTTTCCTGCCTTTCTTGAATGTGATGCTATTACGTTTAGCAGGGTTAGTCACAATATCTGCAATTGTCTAACCGGAAACTGGAATATGGTAATTTAGAATAAGCTTTACGAGGAAGAATATATTAAGATTTTTCCTGTGAATAACATCGCAGCCATATACAGTAGCACAAAAATGAACAAAGGGTCCTGGTGCAAGATTTTATTTGGGGCCCTCTACCACTCCAGACAATTAACCTTTCCCCAAAATGTCCCCACTTTCCACAGGCAAATAACCAATTCTATAGTCACAAGAACCTAAATCTCCATGCCAGTTCACCCACTTGCTTCCCAATTTAGACTGACACATTTCTTTGATAATTAACCCTCTTCCTGCCCAAATTCAGTTTTGCCACATTTGCCTCTCTATTCCCAAATCTGCGACAAAGTGGCTCAAGAGTGGGCCCCTAAACTCTGGTGGGCAAGAGTGCCATTGCACATGCAGTAGTTCTGCCACCTTTACTAAAATATGAGATGGAAAAATCCATAAAGTTTGCAGTTTAATCCCAGCACAAGTTTAATTTAAGTCCAGCACACACCAAAAAGTTGCAGCATTAAAAGGACACGTTAAACATTTTAACCACTACAACCCACTGCAGTGCTTCTGCTGCTATAAGTCTATTGGCCGTAAACCTAATTTTGTGCCTAATCAATTTTGAGTGTTTTAAGAAAATGGTCTGTCACAATACCTATAACTAAGCCTCTTTTACATTATCCTTTAAAAAACAAAACAACTTTGTATTGTCCAAAAAACCCAACAAACAATTATATATGATAGATAGCTAGATACATAGATAGGTAGAGATATATATATATATATATATCCCGAGCACTCACATTTAAGGTATACCACTGCCGGGCGCAAAACCAAGGCTCCAATAGATATAGATATATATATATATATATATATATATATATATTTACAGGTATGTCCGAAAATATTTGTACACCGACTCAAGTTTTGTTATTTTGTCTGTTTATTAAATCAAATTAAAGTTACAGTTAAATAATGAGTATGGGCTTAAAGTGCAGTCTCTCAGCTTTAATTTGAGGGTATTTACATCCAAATTGGAGGAAGGGATTAGCAATTACAGCTTTCATATGTAGCTCCCTCCTTTTCAAGGTACAAAAAGTAATTGGACAATTGAATCAAAAGCTGTTTCCTGGACAGGTGTGGGCTATTCCTTTGTTATTTCTTCATCAATTAAGCAAATAAAAGGCCTGGAGTTATTTCCAGGTGTGGCATTCACTTTTGGATGTTGTTGCTGTGAACCCACAACATGCATTCAAAGGAGCTCTCAATGCAAGAGAAAAATCTAATCAGAGAGATAGCAGGAACATTTGGAGTGGCAAGATCAATATAATGAGCACTGCAACACAAAAAAACCTGGACGTCCACTAAAAACAACAGTGGTGGATGAACGAAGGAATGTAGGCCTTTCCATGATAAAGAAATACCCCTTCACAACATCCAGCCAAGTGGAGAACACTCTCCAGGAGGTGGGAATATCATTATCCAAGTCTACCATAAAGAGAAGACGTCACAAGAGCAAATACAGAGGGTTCACCATAAGGTGCAAACCATTCACCTTGCCTCATCTAGCCTCAAGAATAGAAAGGCCAGATTAGACTTTGCCAAAAATCGCCTAAGCTAAAAAAGCCAACCCAGTTCTGGAAAAGCATTCTTTGGACAGATGAAACTAAGAACAACCTGTACCAGAATGGTGGGAAAAAAAGCTCATAATCCAAATCATGCCACATCATCTGTGAAACACGGTGGAGGCGGTGTAATGGCATGGACATGCATGTCTTCCAATGGCACTGGGTCACTAGTGTTTACTGATGATGTGACAGAAGACATAAGCAACCAAATAAATTCTGAAGTGTATAGGGATATATAATGTCTGCTCAAAATTATCCAAATTCAGAAAAGTTGTTTGGACGGCACTTCACTTTACAGATGGACAATGGCTCAAATCATACTATGAAAGCAATCCAGGAGTTTTTTAAGGCAAAGAAGTGGAATATTCTGCAATGGCCGAGTCAATCAAATGATCTCAACCCTATCGAGCATGCATTTCACTTGCTGAAGACAAAATTTAAGGCAGAAAATCCCTACCATCAAAATACTACAGTAAATACCTGACAAAGCACTGCAAAAGAGGAAACCCAATATTTGGTGATGTCTATGCATTCCAGACTTCAAGCAACAAAATATTAAAAATTAACATTTTATTTATCATTGTGTTCATTTGTCCAATTGAATTTGAGCCCCTGAAATAAGTGGAGGGTGTATGAAAATGGTTGTAATTCCTTAATGTTACATACAATATTTTTATTCAACAACTTGAATTAAAGCTTAAAATCTGCACCACTTTTGCATGTCAGTTGTTTCATTTCAAATCAAATTTTGTGCCAAAATTATGAAAATTGTATCTGTGTCCAAATATTTTCAGACGTAACTATATGTAGTTGGGCACTTATTATTATTATTATTATTATTATTATTATTATTATTAATAATCAGTCACTCCTTGGGTGCCTCTGAATTGAACAAGTAAATACACCAAATAATGAGAGCACTCACATATAAAATTATATTAAAAAATATATCGGGGGCGGGGCCTGACCAGCATGGCGAGCAGTCGCACATCGTCTGAGCTCCTGGACTTTTCATGTAAAACTGACCCTTCCAGATAACTTATGCGACACCTAATTAGCACTGCATAACTCTGCTGACTAACTACAAATCTGGGGCTTTTAATCTGTGCTTTAGCACTACGTTACAGATTGCTCGACGAATCACTGGGGCAGCCCGGAGGCTTAGCTACAGCCTGGTGCTATGTAGGAGAGAGAGGCTGCTGACTCCTTAACCTACACCCCACTAAAAGACACTGCAGTGAACATCCCCATTCTCTCCCCCCCGTGGTGAGGGATATCCTGGCACCCCAACATCTGGACTGATCTGTACACTCCCTGCTACTTCTAGAGGCCTACCTGTTAACCTGTTATATCCAAGATGGTGTCAGAGCACAACACCACGAGGCCTTGACTAGACTTTCTAGCAGCATTCGATAGCACCTGCAAAGCCTTCTGGGACTTCTGGAGCATTGTGTGGCCCCAGGTCTAACACAAGCACCAGGTGACAAGGGACCTGAGATAAGCATCTCTCCCACTCACCACCAGCATGAACAGCCAGACTGGCCCTTGGGGGACTGCCCTGGCAAGCGCAGAGGCCCCTCCAATACCTCCAAGCTGCAAAAAGGCAGGAAGGGAAGACCTCGGCCTGCTCGGCGCATCAGCATTCAGAGGAGAGGAGGTCCACGAGGCTCGCTATTTTGGGGCCAACAACCCCTGTGCTCTGAACTCCAGTCCGAATGGGGATTCACCCCACACTCAGCTACCTGTGGGCGCTGACCCATAACTGGGGCTCTCGTTGGCTACTTCAAGCTGCCTCGAAGAAAACACCCTCTGTCCTGTCTGATGGACCATTGGTGGCTGCCTTGCGACAAGGCATTGGCTCAGTGAATTGCCACGTATGGGGCTCCATGCTTATACAGCCTCCCACGGGGCTCTTATACCTAGCACAGGGTCCTTAATCCATAATTACATTATCTTCAATCCCCTCCACTGTGACCCACAGGGGTGTTTAAATAGCAGTGCCCAGCCCACCTGAATTAAGCTATGTTTATTTTATATGTTATTCTATAATCTGTCTTAGCTTGTGTTTTGTGAATGCAGACTTAGTCGCCCTGCTACTTTCTATTGATAATAGCAATTCATCTTTGCTAATACTGGGTTTGCAGATTATTCAGCTCATATAACTATGTTGCACAGCTAAACTGTCCATATACCTACCTTACCTTGTTACCTCACACATGCTTTAATCGTGCTTTACTTTAACCATGTGAAGTCAGTTCAGTCAGTCCTCAAACACAGTTCAACCCTATCAGTACCTGCAGGGACTCATTTTCATCCTGTTACACTCTAAATATATATATAAAAAAGTGCAGTACCTCTAACATTTTATGTTATGCTTGTTTCAGAAATTGTCATATGTATTCCTGATAAAATGACCATATACACTTGTACAATATCATACGCACTACAAAAATAAAGAATTATAAAAAAAAATTAAAAAAATAAATATGCTTTTTTGATGCATGGTGCTCTCACTTTTTTATTCTTTATTTTTGGTATCAACTCACAGATAAAATATTTCATAAAGCATATGCGTGGTCATTAAGATAAGATTGTACACAACTAGTAACAATGCATAGTGACAACCTGCGTAGATAGCGTACACTGTGAATTGACATTTTTTGTTTACTGTAGTATCTAAACTCTCAAAATTAAGACTGAAATTTAAAACTAAAACTACTAGTGATCATCCCAATTCACTTCGCTATGCGTGATCAATGATCAGTCTTGTGTTGTGGTTTGGGGTTTAATATTGGATGACTGATAGATTGTGAGATTTTAGCACCTCACTACTTTACAATTCTATTACAGTGTTATACTGTACAGAGGTGGGTGGTGGGGGGTATATAACTTTTGTTAGGTAACCAGTTGGTCTAGGCTTAAGAACCATGCTACAGAAAAGACAACATAATGAGAACTAAACACAAAACTAAAGTTCAATTATGTTTGAGCACATTATGGAAACCATGCCTCGGTGTTGTTCAGGTAATGTTTACTGCTGTATGGTTCGGTGGTGATACTCTTGGGATAAATGGCTTCCCAGTCACAGGGTTCCATCTGTGTGGAGCTTGGTCTGCAGCCCTGTGCCCCCTGTTTGTCATAGAGTCCCAAAGAAGGTCCAGGGTGTTCAGTAGTGCTTTCGCTTCTATCACGTCGTGCATCTCATATTTAACATTGTCCTCAAGGATCTGAAGCCTGTGCGCCGAATGCCAGCGATAATGGATCTGATGTCACCTGAGCAGAGTTGTGAAGGGTGCCAGTGTCCTTCTTCACACCACAGTATATACCGAGAGATCCACATAAAAAGTGTTCTGGAGTCCAACTTAGTGTTCTGGAGGCCTGCTAGAAGTGACTTCAGGACCTTGGTAGTTACCGGAGTGGTGTCGGAGCTTGCAGAGGCCGGCTTTGGAGGTGGAGCTGTAGGCATAACTACCTCCTCATCTTAGAGGGAGAAGTCATTGGATATTTCTGAGTAAGTCTCAGGGTAGTCGACCATCTTGGGCCTAACCGCACCGCTCGCTTGACGTAGCAGATCTCCAATGTGCAGGCCTGGCCTCGGCTTGTCGGGCTTCAATTTCTTGTTTTTGCTGCCCATTTGCCCTTGTGCTAGGGGTTACCCTCAGGGCAGATAAGTTGGGGTTTTGGGTCCCAAATGGGGTACAGATAGTGCTAATTGCCCAGAGCTCTCATGAAACATGTCTGCTCGGCTGAGTTGCTTGGCTCCGCCCCTAGAGCTCTCATTTTTTTGCATTGTGTACATACATATATACAAAAATAAATTTCAGGTAATACTGTCGCATCAAGGATGCATAATTAATTGTTGCACTATAGAATATTGCTATTTAATGTGATTTGTGTAGTGCTTACATGAATTGGCTGCCTGATAGAGATGGAATTGTCAATTTCAGCATGAGAGGAGTTAAACTTGATTGCATAGAAATGTGATAGATGTCATGAGGTTTACAGCATGAATTTCTCTTTTGAAGCTGTGACTTGTATTTGTGACAACCAAGGCGCCTGCAAGGTGGTAAGTGTGAAGTGTTACACATGAGTTTCCTCTAAGGCTAGCTTCAATATAAACTAACTGGCTAATCTATCATATACCTGTATCCCCCCATAGATAGTGGGTTCTTTTTATATTCTAATTGGCCATTAGCATTCAGGCCATATAAAAAAAAAAAAACATTAATAAAAACCCACATATGAATAATCAGGACTCCTTTTGTGCATGTGCAAATCGGGTAATGCAAACCCTACGTAAAGAATATAAATATGGCTAGCACAGCTTAAGCCGCTTGGAATTGTGAAGTCTGCTATAGTAGATCATAAGTAAGAATCGAAACATATGTATGCCATTGAAAAAAATTCAACAAATTCATAGATGCAATAATTAGACATCAGCCGGCGGGGGAGACCGACTGCGCACGCGCATTAGACCTCCCGATAGGAAAGCATTGGAAATGCTTTCAATGCTTTCCTATGGGGATTGTCTGTGCTATGAACCAGGAAGTGCCCTCTAGTGGCTGTCTATTAGACAGCCACTAGAAGAGGAGTTAACCCTGCAAGGTAATTATTGCAGTTTATAAAAACTGCAATAATTACAGTTGCAGGGTTAAGGGTAGTGAGAGTTGGCAACCTGATCACTCCAATGGGCAGAATTGGTCTGGGTGCCTGGAGTGTCCCTTTAAGGGCCAAGAACTAATTTTGTGTAAGCCACCATCTTTCCTTGCCGTAGCCTCCCTGGGCAGAAAACACTGTTACTTTTAGAATCTAATGAGTAATTAAGACTACTTTTAATTTCTCCTTTTTATTTTTATATGTTTGTGTAAATCATTTTATTTATATGTACTGTTTTTGTTCATAATTAATATTCCTTTATTAAATTCTGCTGTTGTAATGTGGCATAATTAAACCTATTTATTAGTAATCTGAAATCACATAAATATTACGTTATATCTTATTTTATGGGGTTTTAGTCTTATTTGTTTTAGGGACCAAGGCAACCCATTTATTAATTGTCTTGGTGGTGGTAGCATTATATATATATATATATATATATATATATATATATATATATATATATATATATAAAAATTGTAAATAAGTGTGGGTGGTGTTAAGGGGGATTTTAATAATTACGTCCAACTTAGTGCAGACAAACAGTGCAGTTTCATTCTTTCACCACCAGAACCAAGTGTAGTAGAGTAGGGTGTGTACGTGACACTCACCCCATAATGCTTTTGCAGTTTTTCCAAGGAACCAGATCTTCTTTGCTGAATTACCATTGTTACTAGTAACTAGCTGAGATCACTCATCACTCACACAACATTTCAATCACTGGAAAACATGAATGAAAACGGAATGGAAACAGCTGTCATTTAAATCACATGTTATTACTGTACATATGAGATTTAGAATCTAACAGTTTACTTACATTTGATGTATCACTTTAAATTTGCCTAAAAGTAGTAAATGTTTAATTATACCGAGCAGAGATAGCTCAAGTAAGCCGTTGTGGCTGTAAATTGATTTATGACCTGAAGCAGGTGATATGGTAATTAACCAGATGTATTGTAATTGCCATTACATTTATATTATTGATACATATATAAAATCTTAAAGCTTTCTTTCTTATTGTGTGGCTCAACATCGTGATGATGTTTTTTATTTTTATAAACCTTTTGTGTGTGCATATTAAGGATTTCCACTATCTTCTTGGAGATCACTTTTGTGGGGGGCTTCTTTTGAAAGCCTACTACTTTTTCTCCCTATTTCATTGTTTGGCTTAACTCATGTAATACCAAGAGAAATAGCACCTCAAATTGCATAGTTTGTGACAATGTCACTTTAATACAAATGAGTTAAAACAGTGTGATATTGCTATCGATGCAGGATGTTAATTCAGTGGGTGCGGAGTTTTTGAAACCAGCATGGGTTTTGGTTAATATAGCAATTGTGGAGTTTTTACATAAAGATTTATTTAATACTTTGAATTAATTTAAAGGCTTGGTGTCACAATGTGATGTCTAGAAATGGTTTTAACGAATGAATTAAGGTGTGATATAGGGCTGGTTTTAGAATGGATTAAGCTCATTTGAGCAGGGTCATCATGAAACTGAAACATCATTGTTTCTGTAACATTTTGTAATTGTCTCATTTATTAAATGTCCCCCTTTTTGTAATGTTATAAAGAGCTGCAGAATAAGTTGGCACTATCCGAATGCCAATAATAATAAAAATATAGGTGGAAGTAGCCATAACAATTACTCTTGTGCTGAAGGTCCTGTATTTTTGCCACCCCTGCATATATTTATATATACCGCAGCAAGCAAGCTTTAGGAGCCCATTTGGTGTTCCTCACACATAGGGAGACAAACACCCAATAGCTATCTCTAATCAAGGGCCTGGTTAGGTGCTGAGGCTTTTTAACAGCACAACCAGGCAACTGGCAGTGCTGGAAGGAAGTGAAGTCAGGTCTTTTCCTCTCATGTGTACCTCAAAGGGAGGGCTAGTTGCAGGCAAAGAGAAGAGGGGATAGAGCCTGGACCATTATCCTCAGCCACATCTTTACCCCAGGGAAGCCATGCTCCTGATTCCAAAAGGTATGGACGCAGGAAGTGACAAAAATATGTAAATTATGAATTGTGTGTATATTTGCACGTGTAAGTGTGTATGTGTCAAAATGTGTGTATATCTGTTATGTATCAGTTTTTATGTGTATCC